CTGGTTCTTTAATGGATTATAATTCTTGATTTTCTTTTTGAAGTTGACGTTGCGATGAGCTTTGTTTATTCTTATTGTTTTTTAATCTCCTCTGCGTAGTTGGAAGGACAGCTCATTCTCTCTCTCTGTCTCTCTTTCTCTGAATCTCGTTCTCTCTATTTTGCTCTGAATCTCGTTCTCTCTCTCTCTTGCTTTGTCTCTCGTTCTCTCCCTCTTGCTCTATCTCTCGTTCACTCCCTCTTGCTCTGTCTCTCGTTCTCTCTCTCTCTCTCTCTCTCTCTCTCTCTCTCTCTCTCTCTCTCTCTCTCTCTCTCTCTCTCTCTCTCTCTCTCTCTCTCTCTCTCTCTCTCTCTCTCCCTCTCCCTCTCTCTCTCTCTCCCCCCCCCTCTCTCTCTCTCTCTCTCTCTCTCTCTCTCTCGCTCTCTCTCTCTCTCTCTCTCTCTCTATTCCTCCTCCTTCTCCTTCTCTTCTTCCCCTCTTCCTACCTTCATGCCCTCAATCCTTCCCCCTTTTTTCTCGCTGTCTTCCTTCCCCTTCCCCTCCTGTTATTTATTTTCACTCTCCCCCGTTTTTATCCTCGTCCCCAGATAATCCTCTGCGCCCTTCTGTTTCCCTTTTTCTTCTTTTTCTTTTTTTTTCATCTGTCTCTTTTTTTTCTCTCTCTCTTCTTCCTCCCTCCCATCTATGCGTGCAGTGCCATGTTTACACACACACTCGTATAGATTTGCTCACACACCCGCATATGTATGTGAATGTTTATATGCATACACGCAAACGCACATATATACTCATATGCACACATAAGTTTAAATATATGGATATTGATAGACTGATGAATACAAGCATACGCATTTACAAAAACTAAGCATGTATGATACTTTACAGATATAAACATTACAACCACATACACAAACAAACACACAGAGACAAACGCATATAGACACACACTCACAAGAAACGCAAACAAATATAAACACAAGAAACGCATACACAGACAAACATACACTCATTCACACGCAAAACAAACAACAAAAACAGAGCACCCTAAACCAACACGTGAGTTTTTCATTCTCGCTCGGGCCCACACTTTCTCCCATGTTTTCGATTTCTCAATTACAAGATTCACTTCGAGTTAGGACGGAATAAACTGCATTGATTTTTATCTGTCTGTCTGTCTATCTATCTATCTGTTTATGGTAGAAAAACCCACAATGTAAAACTAGATCCATTGAAAGTGAGACCACGGTTTCGAAATCCACCTGGATTCCAGTCTCACTTTCAATAAATCTAGATTTACATTGTGGGTTTTTCTACCATAGTATCAACACGGTAGTGTGTTGTACCATTAATCTATCTATCTATCTATCTATCTATATATATATATATATATATATATATATATATATATATATATATATATATATATATATATATATTGTATATGTGTGTGTGTGTGTATATTTGTGTATTTTCTTTTTTTTTGAGAGAGAGGGAGGGAAAAAAGAGAAGGGGGGGCGATCCAACTTCCTACATACATGCATACCTTATGCTTCGTCTCGGTAAAAAAAAATAATAATGTTTGAATATGATTAATTGCATCAAATGACCAACACACATGCGGTCGTTTTGGGGGTTTTGGCAGAAGTTTCTTGTAAAGAAAATAAACTATGATATTACCTTTGTTTCATTATTATTATTTTTTTTTTTTTACTTTATGTTAGTCTCGGTGGCAGTGATTCTGTTTTGTCTCTGTCTGTCAGTCTCTCTCTCTCTCTCTCTATCTATCTATCTATCTATCTACCTAGCTCTGTCTGTCTGTCTGTTGCTCTGTCACTGTTTATATCTACACACTCCCTTGCAGTTTCCCCTTTCTCTCTCTCTCCCTCTCCTTCTTTTCAAGCCTCTCATCCACCAATACCCCTCCCTCTCCACTCTCCTCTCTCTCTCTCTCTCTCTCTCTCTCTCTCTCTCTCTCTCTCTCTCTCTCTCTCTCTCTCTCTCTCTCTCTCTCTCTCTCTCTCTCTCTCTCTCTCTCTCTCCCCTTCTTTCCTCTCCCTCCTCCCCTATCTCCTTCCTCTCCCTCCTCCCCTATGTCTTTCTTCTCCCTTTCTCATCTCCCCCTCCTCCTCCTCCCCTTCTCCCCACCCCCTCCCCCTTCCTCCCCCTCCTCCCCAACCCCCCTCCTCCCCAATCTCCCCTCCTCCACATATCTTTCTCCCTTCTTCCTCCTCTCCCTTCTCACTTCTTCCCTCTCCCCTCCCCCCCCTCTGCCCGAGCATCACTCTCCTCGTCCTCTGTTGCCAGCGGTTGAAGCGACTGGCGGCTGATGCTGAGAAGAAGCGCTAATTCGGTGAGGAAATTCGCACAGGCAATCCGATTACGTTGCTTCACTACGGCGAGTTTTCGAGGAGGAGGAGGAGGAGGGGGTGGAGGTGGAGGAGGTGGAGGTGGAGGTGGAGGAGGTGGAGGTGGAGGTGGAGGAGGAGGTGGAGGTGGAGGT